TTACTGTGAGTATTCTTTTCCATAATACAAATACATATATTATATATAATATATATGTACACCTTTCCCACACGCTTGATTCATTTTCACATTGCCTGTCTTAAGAAAAACAAAACCTTCATAGTTTTCGTGCCATTTCTGCTTTCTTCAGAATGCCTTCCTCCAAGAAACAAGAAGTCATACGAAGCAGAAGTGAGACTACAGAACTTCTGCTTTCAAAAGAAACAGAAAACCAGCCCACCAGTCAGTTCAGTCCCATATCTAATCATTCTGTCACTCTATGAATAACTTCATGATTCTTTAAAAATGTAGTGATAATGGAACTTTACTTAACTGCAAAAAAACCCTTGTCAATTGGATTCACTGTAAATACACAATGTTACTATATTATTGTTAAACTGCTCTGAATTAATCATCTGTTTGGAAAAAAAGTCTCAATTTATCATGCTACTTTGTAGAGAGAAATATTGAAAATGATACTAAGTGGTGCATGTTTATCTTTGCATCTGCATATTCCAGATAATGTTATAGAGCTAGGAGTCACTTCTCAGCTACATCAACCCAACATTTATTCTACCGGGCAACACATTTCCACAAAACTATTTTGAAGTGTCAAAGGTATAAATTAAAAATAATGTTTGAGTGTGAAATTTTTAAACATTTCAAGCCAAGTTTTGTAGTAATAGCCTATTGATGCACTCATGTTAATAATATATGTTTTAATGAAAGAAGAATGCTTCACTGTGTGGGAACATGATATAATCTTTGGTACCAAGAGCAATTTTACCATTTCTCAATTATCGCTCCTTTACAATGGTTCACTCTTATTGAGCGGCATAGTTTGGCTGGTACCTGCTACACCGTTGATACAAAAATCCAGAGATTTAGAGCTTTGTGAAACAAAACAAATAAGACAAATTTGGTGTGGTTGCTGTTTAAAAAAAATAAAAGAATTTTAGAAAGGACTGTTTGATGTTTATTTTTCTCTGTTTTGATATGTATTTGCCATTTCTGTACCTCAAATGATTCCTATTCACCCCATACCCAAAAGAAAACAAGTTTCAGAAGACCAACAAAAACACAAGCAAAACACACACATGATCATTCTCAGTGTCCTAACTGAAGGCATTCCCTCAAGTTGCTTCATCTTATGGATTTCACTGCTTGAGTTCTTTTCCTTCTTCATTTCTGCGGATAAGAATGTTTTAATTTCCCAAGCTTCCTAGTCGTGGTGCTCCAGAGTTCCTCTTCCAGTGTGCTTGGCGTTACAGTGGCTGCCCCACAGTGGCGAACATATTTGCTTTGCTAATTAATGACGAGTGCACTGTTGGATCTTGTAAACACTACTGATAATACATTCAAACTGTATTCTTCATGGAAGTGGCACTTACTAGGACCCTTGAAGTCAGAATATTTTATAGTTAGAGCACTTGGCAGGTTATTTCATCAGCTGGTGGCAGATTCCCACGGACTTCCATTTCAGCTATGCAGTCAGAGTGGATGCTGAATCCCGGCCTCGTTTTGGATCCTGTTTCTATATCTCCAGAAGCATCTTTAGAAAAAGTTTGTGTCCAGTTTTGATCCTTCGAAATGTGCTTTATTGCTTCCTGCACTTCCCTGTAGTCAGCTTTAGCGCTCCTCTGTTGTGTAGCACATTCAGTGTTTTAAATTCTAACGGCATTCTGTGAGGGCTTGCGTTGGAAAAGTATCTATATTTTAAGTCATCGTAGTAATGGTATTTGACGGCTTTTCCATTCAAATCCTTAGGGAAGGGCCAGAACCCATACAGGTGAATTTCATCACAGAATCTGGTGGCCAGTGTGTACATGAGAAGGCCTGTGCTGGGTCTTTTGATGGGCACCTTGTTGGTCAGCCAGTAACTGGGAGAAACAAAACCAAAAGTAAGGCAGAAGAAAATGTTGATCAATATATAGTATAGTCTATAGAAATCACATCATGAAGCAAACACAATGCACAATTATAAATAAACTTTTCAGCGATTGCTGAAAATCATATCTATGTACTTAGATAAGTTTATACTTCCAAGTTTTCTTTGATGTTTATTATCTTACAGATTCTTGAGTACATAAAAACAGCCAGGGGACTAAAAGCATAGGTTAATTCTGCTCTATAATAAAAAAAATCCAGATTAATTAGGGATCAACATTTATACAATGTTCAGAGTAGGACTTCTCAGAAAGGTGTAAATATAACTGAACATTGACAGCATCAAGGACCCAGCTTTGATTTGATCATCAGCAGTCAGATAAAAGGCCTGGCATGGTGTGCAGAGACAGGTGGATCCAGAGTCTCATGGTCACCTTGCCTATCCTAATTGGTGAGCCACAGGCCCCTGAGTCCAGAGAGAGACTTTTCAAGAAAAGAAGGAAGGGAAAGATGGAGAGAGAGAGATAAAGACAGACACACAGACACACACACACACACACATACACAGACACACAAAGAGAGAGAGAGAGACAGAGACAGAGACAGAGACAGAGAGACAGAGAGAGAAACGTTCTTGAGTAGCAGCACTGAAAACCGACCTCCAGGCTCAAGAATACACATGAACAGCTTCAAACACACAATAATTATGACAAATTTTTCAACTCCAAACATAAAACCATATTGTACTGGTGGACATTTCATTACCTCAACCAACATAAAACAAAAACAAAAACAAAACAAGTAAATCAAATTTTATAATAAACTAATGACATAACTTGACATTAACACTTTTTATTGATAAAATAGGTTCCCTGACAATTTCATGCACCTTCTGTTTCCTCTTACCCCACATTTTTACTCCCTCCACTTCTGTCACCTGTTAATCCTCCCCACAGGAACTTTCCCCACATTCCTGCCTTTTTGTTTTGTTTTGTGACCCCTTGGTTTTTAATCAGGACCCTGAGTTTCTTTTTTTTAATAGGCTAAATGTACATCTATGGTGAAAAATATTTCATAGTATTAACTTGCAACAATAAAAGAACTGCTTCAGAATGTTCAGATCCATTGTTGTCACATTTTGCTGGCCTGAAAAGCATGCAAGCCCACAGTTAATGGTCGCCTTTAGAGGGAAGGGAGTTTCCAATATTTCTGGGCACACTCATTTCCTCAAAGAAACGGTGTCATGTCAAAACAACTAAAAGGGGAAGAGTGTGAATTTCCTGATGCTGTAGACTGGTCTTATTTAAAAACAGCATACTTAAAATATGCATGTTTTAAATTATTGCTTTCACTATCATCCCAAACTTCCAGAAATATCTTTCTAAATGTGAAGATGCAATTTTACATACTGCCCATTGCATCTTTTACCATGTTACCTTCAGCTTTTATGTATTATTTGCTATCTCTTTTTAAAAGTTTTTGTATGAAATATATTGTCTATATGTTTATTTTTTGTTTTTATTTATTTGTTTGCTTTGCCTGTATGTATGTCTGTGTACTCTGTGTAATAAAGACATACTTGGTGACAATGGAAGCCAGGAAAGGGCATCAGATCCCCAAGGGCTAGAGTTACAGACAGGTGTATGCTGCCAGATGGGTGCTAAAAATTGAACACAGGTCCTCTTGAAGAGTGACCCATGCTCTTAACCCATGGGCCATCTCTCAGGGTCTCCTTTTAGGAGATTTAATGAGACTTTTCAAAGGAGTTCAAATATATTTTGAGTATTGACTGTGAAAACAATCAAAAGAAATTAAGTGCTATTTTACTGCAACAGCTTATAAACATAACTGTCTTCAAAACTGACCCAAAACATGCAATTGCAAATAGGGAAAACGGACTCAGCCTTGTTAACCTCTAGACCTTCCTACCCTTTCCTGTTTATCTAAGGTGTGATAGGTATGACAGTCAGCCATCCATCCCAAATACATGCATTTCAAATCCCCAAGGACACTGCTGCAGTCCTTTCTGGCCTCTTTGTGAGCATATCTAGAGGGGATTTCCTAAATTTGGAGGACCCACTCCTCGGGTGGGTGGCACTACATACACCATGGGTTAGCAATCCACACAGAATTGTAACATTTAATCCTTCTGCCTGTCGCCTGGCCCTTCCGAGCTGTTTGAGCCCCCAAATAACACACAAGACACTATTAATTATGAAGCTGTTGGCTGTTTGCTTGGTTTCTTATTGGCTAGCTCTGATTTGATTATTAACCCATAATTACTAATATATATTTTATAAGAACTTATCTTTTTGAGAATGCACTTCTGAGTGCCCATTGCTCCTGGGAGATCACATGGTGAGAGCTCTCCTCACTACATTTCCCAGAACCTCCTAGACTCCTAGTCCCACCTATGTTGTTTCCCTATTGGCCAACAGTGCTTTATTGAAACCAATCAGACATATATTCACAGAATGACGTCTCCCAACACAGAATAAATGGGAAAAGGTGGGAAATAAATGTGGAAAGCAGAGCACAAGCTTTCCCTTTTCTCTGCTTCCTGGAAACTCGTGCAGTGAACTGAGTTGCCATGCCTTCTCTGCCTTGATGGACCTTGGAAACTGTAACCAGAGGAACCTTCCATTAGGGATCTTTGTCATGGACTGAAAAGCTGATATAATTAGTCTTAAACCTTCTGCTATTTCGTTGGTGTTAGCATTCAACTCGGCGTCTTACATGTGGCAGAAGAATGTTCTAGTGCAACAACCAGCCCATACACATTTATTTTCCAGTTTTTTTCATTTGACAAATGCTAATGCTAAATATTTTGAGACGTGTAAGGTATTTGAAAAGCTTTAATTGTTACTATTGAGCTTCCCTGTTTTCAAAATATAGGATTTACAAGTTTTTTAAAAAGTAGATTTATCTGGACCCTCTTTTGATCAAAAGGTAGATAACCAAGTAGACTCATAGCCTGTGTGTTGTTAAATTCATCCAGTAACCAGGGTGATTCTACTGTTAAAGTCTAATATGACGCCTTTAAGAGGTCCACAGGTCACAAGGCTGTGTGTGTTCTTGTAAAACTGATGTTTGTAACATGATATGATGATTCTTTTATGGTTTGTGTATAGTCACAGTGGTCAGGTGGTAAACCTGATAATTTTAAAAAGATGCTTGTGTTGCTTCAACTGTTGAAGCTAAGCTTAGCAAAGCAAATACAAAGTCAGTCTGAGCAACGAATATTCCCATCAGTGGTACTGAATGTAAATGTTTGGCAGCAATAAAAGTTATACTGAACTATTTCTACAGTGAGAATCATGTTATCAGCAAGAAACAATATAATAGTTTGCTATTTTTGACAATTAGTGTACTTTTTATCAACAAATATGCTCTATTATCCATAAGAAATCTCTAGAAATTCTTGTAACTATAAGTGGACATAAATATATGGTAAAGCAACATTTGTAAGCCACATTGTTAAGTACAATGCCATTAAGAAATGCTGAAAGAAAATTATTTACCAAAGTGCTTCAAAATAGGGTCAGAGAGTAAGAACCTCCAAGAATTTTTTTGCTCAGGAGTTATTAATAGCATACTTCAAAAACATTGACATTGCAGCAAAGAGTCCTAAAAATGTATTCTATTTAGAAATATAGAGTCTCGGAAACTTGTAATCCTAGTAAATTGATTTATGAAGTTAACATTATAGACTGAATAATTTAGCATTAGCAATGTTAAAAGAGAAGTAGCCTCATTAATGAGGTTTGGCTTACATCACTTTGGTTTGTAAAGAAAACCTAAGTATTCATTGTCCAGTCATGTTTGCATAAACAATGCAAGAAGAAAGCTATATGCTTATTTTTAAATATGATTAAGAAAGTAGGAAATAAATGATGCTATAATGTAAAATAAGTTTACAGAGAATTTAAACCAAACCAAGCTGTTCCCTTCCTTGAAGCCCCTTACAAAAGCTTGATGTGTGTGGGTATTCTAAACGAAACACACAGATCTAAAGATTCAAAGCTCAAATCCATGTTATCAGAGAAAGCATGATATTTGCCTTTCTGAGTCTAGATTATGTTATAGAATGATTGTTTATAGATCCATCCATTCATTTGTGATTTTTTTATAATTTTATTTTTCCTAACAGGTCAATAACATCCCATTGTCTAAATGTACCACACGCTCATTGCCCATTCATGGCTTGATGAAAGTGTAGTTATGTTTCCATTTCCTGTTCATTATAAATAGAACAGAAATGAATATGGTTGAGCAGGTATTTATAAAGTAGGAAAGATGATCCTTTGGCTAAATGCCCAACATGATACAGCTGGACCACGTAGTAGCTCTATTTGTAGGAATTTTTGAACAACCTTCATACTGATGTTTATAGTTGCTATGGCAGTTTTCACCAGCATAGAATAACTGTTCCTCTTTCTCCATGTCCATACCAATCTCTGTCCTCACTTGGGATTTTGCTCCATAGCAATTTTTTTAAATTTTAGTCATTAGGATAAGGTAAATTTTCAAAGTGGTTTTAGTTCGACTAAGGATTTTGAACATTTCAAAATTTTTTTTCTTAGATGTTTGTATTTCATCTCTTAAAACTCTCTGTTTAGGTCCATGCCCCATTGCAACTGAATTTTTTTCCTTAAGATTTATTGATTTATTCATTCATTCATTATGAATACAGTATTCTGCCTATACAGTATGGTGTCAGAAAAGGGAACCAGATTTCATTAAAGATGGTTCACCATTTCTGAAGACCAATGATGGAATGTGAAGCTATAAAGCTGTTGATATTACTTGGAAACTTATCCCTGCTGATTAGATTTCATAGTGCTAAAAGGTACACTGATCACTACCAGGGGACAACAGCAATTATCAACCTTATGAGGCTCTGAATCCTGTGAATTACAATAACAACCACCCTGGAAGGACACGCCCAGCAAGGCAATATTCACACAAATGTCATAGGAGTATCCAATCACTT